GCACAGATACAATCGATTACTCTCAAAGCACTGTGGGAGATTATATTTTTCTCCCAGTCCTGTATCCATGTCTTTTGTCATGCGACTTTGCAGTTTTTTCACTAGAAGCAGGGCAGATTTTCCTGCTTCATTGATGTTGGGCTTGATCATATGCCTCGTCTTAGCCAATGAAATGTGGGTAGGAGTCATAGTACCCCATTCAGACTCTAGCCTCAAGAGGCCCTGTAAATTTCCACTCATCTTTTCTGTGTTTCTTCCACGGTCACAAGGAAAGCGTGTTCTGGCTAGATCCGCCAACCCCCAGGTGTAGAGTATACTTCTGTTGCTTTAAGCCGCTGCACTTTGGGCGGGTTTTTTACACAGCATATGGCAATAGTCAACGGATACAGCTTATTTCACTGTGTGGCAAACTCTGATGGGTGCTTCCCCATATAAATTCCTCCCTTGATAAGTGCTCGTATAGAGATTTCACAAAAGAAGCTATATCTAAATGTTCCATAAGCACATTAAAAGATGCCACAAATCATTAGTCATCAGGGAACTGCACACCAAACCCACAATTAAATACCGACAATTGCATACCCGCTAGAATAGCAAAAGTTAAAAGACTGATGATATCAATGAGGATCCAGAACCACCGGAACTCTCACATACCACTAGTCGGGTGTAAGAAGAACCACTTGGGAACACTGGCTTACTGGACTTATTATTTACAACCAAATATAATCTCAACAGATGCAGAATTTCTCTGTTAATGAACTGAGCCTATGATTCTAAGTCTCCGGCCTGTTTTCCTGACCTCCTGGCCCATGATTAGTTTTAGAATCTTAGCTGTTCAGGTCAGCCCTGGCTCAGGCACCTAAGCAGCAGCCTCTTTTCATGAATCAGCTATGCGGCCGGTCCCAGCTCGCTGTACACTTCCCTGAGGCGCTCAGACTCAGCTTCCAGAGTCCCCTGGCAGTTCCTTGCCTCTCCATGCTGTACTAAAACTCTGACTCTCCCCTCCTTCTAGTTACTCTCCCAGTCAGCTAACCCTCACTTAAGACTTTCCAGAGTAGTGACCTCAACTCTTCTTACTGGCATTTCCCATCACTGTGCTCTCCTGCCTATGCCTTTTTCATCATAGCTTATGTTTGTGTATATCATATAAACATATGTATGAGTATTAAAGTAGTGTCTGTCTCCCTAACTAGGCGCTAAGCTTCAGGAGGGCAGGAACCATGCCTGTTTGGTCTGTTCCGAATGCACGCAGGGGGCACGCGATGCTCCCTGAATGGTAATGAATAAATGAGCAAAACTTCCACATTATTTAGAGGTGGCAAGCTGACTCCTAATTTATTAGCTCAGATTACTGTTCATGCCATGATCATTTTTTGAAAAAGTTACAGAGCCATGACTAGGTTCACTAAAATATCTACACTAGCTAATCTCAGACAATTACAAGCAGTCAACAACCATTTTTCATCTCATGTTAATTTTCTGACACCTTTCCCATTGTACTTATTAAATTCCTCACCTAGGCAGGAGGTGTTTTTCCAATTCTTGAAAGTCTCCAGTTTTGCTGGGAAACAGCCTCCCAATTACTTTCCTCATGGTTGGTGCTGTTCTTCGGAAAACACTGCGACAGGCGCACTTCCAAACCCACAGCCCTCGTCCCCTCACGCCTCTGCTCGCTCTTCCCGGCGACCTTTGTGGGGCATCACGCTCATCTCCTGTTTTGCTGAGTAAATAATGATCTACTAGTTTGAGCTCTCTCATCTATTTTTCTCTTCAATTCAAAGTAATTTATTATCTAGGGGTCCTTCTAATCTCTGCCTTCAGTATAGAAGGCATGCCCCTGTTTCCTCCAGATTCTCTGGGATCTTGTTTTCTTAACCTCCCTACAGCAACTACAATCTCTTCTTTTCCACTTATCTCTTTCCCTTCTGTCCTCTTGAATAAATTGTTTTATTCATTCAACAATTATTTTTTAATTGCTTCCTAAACACCTTGCACTGTTTGAGGTTCTTGCCATATATTAATGAACAAACCCTCACAGGACTTATACAGGTGTAGAGGGATACAAACAATAAACAAAACAAATATGTAAACCATAGTATTGAAGGTCTAAGGAGAGAAATAAAGCAGAGCAGGAGTTTAGAGAGTGAGTGGGGGGTTTCAATTTTAGAAAGTGTTTAGAAAAGAGGGTATTCTACTAAGTGAAATAAGTCAGTCAGAGGACGAAAAATACCATATTTCACTTTTTTTTTTTAATCCTCACCTGAGGACATTTTCACATTCATCTTCAGACAGAGTGGGAGGGAGAGAGGGGGGAAGAGAGAGAAACATTGAAGTGAGAGAGACACATCGACTGGTTGTTACCCACACGACCCCAACCAGGCCAGGGACAAACAACTGAGGTATGCATCCCCAGCGGGAACCAAACCCAGGACTCTCTGGTCCGCAGGCCTATGCTCCAACCGCTGAGCCAAAGTGGCCAGGGTCCATGTGATTTCACTTATATGTGGATTAAAGAAAATATAAATGAACAAACAAAAGAGAAACAGACATAGAAGCAGAAAATAGACTGATGGTTGCCAGCGGGGATGGGTTGGGAGACTGGGTGGAAAAGGTGAAGGGATTGAGAAGTACAGATTGGCAGTTACAAAATAGTCATGGGATATAAAGTACTGCATAGAAAATATAGTGGATAATATTGTAGTAACTGTGTATGATGGCAGGTGAGTACTGAGAATATCCCAGGGGAAGGGGGGACCCCTTTGTAAAGTATATGACTGTCTAACCACTATGCTGAATGTCTAAAACTAATACAAACTAGTGCTGAATGTAAACACTGGCAGGTTTGCTCAGCGGTTAGTGTCACCTGCAGATGAAGGGTTGGGGGTTTCATTCCCCCGTCAAGGGCATGTACCTAGGTTGCAGGTTCGCTCCCCAACCCTGCTACAGGTCGCACAGGAGGCAACTAATCGATGTGATGTGTCTCATTCCCACCCATGTTTCTCTCTCTCCCTCCCTCCCACTCTATCTGAAAAAGAATCAATGGAAAAATATTCTTGGGTGAGGATTTAAAAAAGAATGTAAACTGTAATTGAAAAAAAAAGGGTGGTCAGGAGAGGCTTCACTGGGAAGATAAGAACTATGAAGGAACTGAGGGAACAAGCCTTGCATTTATCTGGTGTTATGGGCAGGAGTGTGTCTGCCTCACTTCCAAATTCGTAGGAAGTCCTCACCCCCCACCCCCACTTCAAAATGTAACCACACTGGAGACGAGGCCTTGGCAAAGGTGATTAAGTAAGTGTTGTGACTTCATCTGTGGGAAGCAGAACAACCAGTGAAAAACATTGCGTGCAGGAAAGGCTGAGTCACCGGGTCACATATAGCTGATAAGGTGGCGGCCTCGCAGGGCAGTTCGGTGCAGTCCGGGCCGGAGGCCTGCGTGGGAGAATGGAGGACAGGAGGTGCGGGACACCGGAAGTTCTGCTCTGCTGCTGGGGGCCACAAACCGCGGTGGAAGACGACAGGGTGGTGGGGCTCTTCTGGTTTTGCTTTCAGGTGTTAAGAAATTACAGCATGTTTTTGCCAATTCTTGAAAGTCTCCAGTTTTGCTGAGAAACAGCCTCCCAATTACTTTCCTCATGGTTGGTGCTGTTCTTCGGAAAACACTGCGACAGGCGCACCTTCCGAACCCACAGCCCTCGTCCCCTCACGCCTCTGCTCGCTCTTCCCGGCGACCTTCGCGGGGCGTGACGCTCCCACTCCTGCCCGACACTCGGGTCTTCCCCCGCGTGGCCGTGTGCAGCCTCCTCGTTCTCCTCTGAAACCCCATCAGGTCAGAAGCCCAGGTTCGGGTCTCGGTTCCACAAACGTAACGAGCCCTGACGCTGGGCGAATGCCCACGGCGCCCCGCACCCGGCTGCTTCCGCTTCACAACGGGACGAGCGTGCGAGCGGACGCGTCACCCGTGAGGCCACCGGCCTCCCAGACCAGCCCGAGTCCTCGGCAGCTCGGGGGCCGCAGGCACGCAGCGCGGTTGTCCGAGCCGCCTCGCACCGTCCACCAGCCGCACGGCTTGTGCAGTCACTTTTGCTTCCTGCCTCGCGGTCGCCTTTCCAAACAGATCCGGCTTTAGCAGAGCCACAGAGCTCCTTTAGGGTCGCCGCTCCCCACCACCCGGGCGTCGCCCCCAACTCTCCCTTTCACTAGGGACGGTCCTCTCCGCAGTCAGAATAGGCCACGTAGTAAGTGCCGCTTCCAACCAATCAGGAAGAAGTTATCTCAGAGCTTTGAGGGGCATCCGCTTCCACTAATGAACTGCAAGCCGTCTCCGCCTCTCGCTTTGAGAAGCCCACCAATCAGGTAAGAAGGGGGCGGGGCCTTTTCCAGGGTAACCGCTTCCGGAACAGGGCTGGGCCTCGGGAGGGGATAGTACGATTTGATTGGCAGGCGTGATGTTGACAACCGGGGAAGGCCCACTTTCTCCAACAGGACCAGTGTGGATCCCGGAGTGGCAGTGGCCGCAGCCAATCGGAGAGCAGTCGCCCAGAAAGTTTGCTCAATGGGTGAGGTCCGAGGGAGACTGTCACTTAAGTGGCGGTGGTGAAGACCGAGCTAAGACGTGGCGGGAGGATCGGGGCTGGCTGTCCAGGCCGTCGGGGCGGCGGAATCTCCAGTGCGTCCTCGGTTGGTCGGGGGATCAGGCTCGCGGCAGAGGCGGGCGCCGGCGGCTTCCCCTCCATGCCCGCGCGCGGAGCCGGCCGCTGATGGAGCGCGTCGCCCGCCCGGGGCTGCTCCCGCGGGCGCTGCTGCCGCTGCTGCTGGGGCTGCTGCTGGGGCTCGCGGCGCGGACGGAAGCTGCAGGGCGCGCCCGCGACCAACACGCACACGCGGCGAAAGCGGCGTTCGGCCTGGGGGCCGCGGCGGCTCCCACCTCGGCCGCGCGGGTGCCGGCGCCTGGGGCCGTGACTGCGGCTGAGGTGACGGTGGAGGACGCCGAGGCGTTGTCGGCGGCTGCAGGCGAGCCGGAGCCGCGGGAGCCCGAGCCCGAGCCGGACCGAGAGCCCGAGCTGCGGCCGCACGGCAGGTGAGGGGCGCGGCCGAGCGCGGGGCCGCCGACCCGGGAGGGCGAGGGCCGGGTGCCCCTGGGCTGCGGCCTCCCGCCGGCGGAGGACCGGCGGGCGGGGGCGAGCGCGGGGCGCCCCGCGTCGGTCCCGGCAGGTGTGTTGGGGATGCCCGCCGAAGGGAGCGCGGAGGTGGGAAAGAAACGTCGCTTTCCCTCCTGTCGCTTCGGGCTTTTCCTAGTCCCAGCAACTTCAGCATCCCCGCCCTGTGTTCTGGGAACCGCCAGTTAGCTGTGCTGGTGTGACAGCTGTTTGGGGAAAGGACTGCACAGAGATGTCAGCATTTCCTTTGAAGCTCGGCGTGCCGCCCCGGAGCAGGGCTCATGTCAGTGTTTCTCCAGCTGAGATCCGCGGGACACCTGCATCAGAATCCCCTGGGGATGCCGGTTAGCTGGAGTCCCAGCTCACCCACACCCACCGAGTCAGACTCGCGCCGCTTAAGAACCTGGGATCTGCAAATTTAACAAGTAAACCAGACAGTTCTCGAGCACACTAAGGTTCTTGAATTTTGACAGTTTTGATATGTAGGGAATTTGCTGTATAAACATTTAGAGCTGTTCTGGTTGAGTTGATTAACCTTATTGAAAATGGTACTTCATCCCTGGCCGGTTTGGCCCAGCGGTTAGAGCGTCGGCCCCCAGACTAAAGAGACTTGGGTTTGGTTCCCGCTAAGGGTTGCAGTTTGTCGCCGGCCCATTTGGGGTTGTGTGGGTGGCATCCAGTCGATGTGTCTCTCTCACATCGATATTTCTTTCTCTTCCCCCCTCTCTCCCCCCACTCTATCTGAAGATAAATGCAAAAAAATGTCCTCGGGTGAGGATAAAAAAAAAAAAAAAAAGAAAATGGTACGTCAAGATACCTGTTTTAAAGCACTTTTCAAAGTCTGGACACAAATGTAAGGCGTTTTAATGGTAAAGTATTTTACAGACAGCTGTCTTAGCACACCTGGGGAGAAAGTAACTTTCTATTTAATAAATGGAATGATAAAAGAAACAGCAGGGTAAATGAAACCAGGAAGAGCTGCAATGTGGATTACAAAGTATTGTAAATTTACAATGTAGTAATTACTAGATTATAACAAATAGATTTAATTTTCAGTTAAATATGGGAACCTTGATCTAACCAGACTACTGTAAATAGGATAAGTCCTAACATTCTCTAAGCACCACTTGAATGTTTATATATCGATTTAAAAAAAAAATGTAGCAAACATTTGACAGTTTTCATAGGTTTTGCTAATGAATTAACTTTCCTGGAAGAGTGTTTTACTTGAAACTTCTGAAGTGCCTGCCCAAGGTAAGTTACGTGAGCGAGATGTTTCCTTTTCCTAGATTACAAACCCAGCAGTGGGCACCTGGGGCACCTCAGAGGCCCTCCGCGTGCCCGGTGGTCCGCAGGGTGGGAGGTGGAGAGCCCCTCCCCTCCCGGAGGAGGGTGCAGTCCAGCTGTGAGACTTACAGGAGGTGACCCATGACATCACAGCGCAGAAGGGGTGCACACTAAGTGCCACCAGTGTCTCGAGGTTTCTGTGGTCTTCAGCGGGTGGGGTGCAAGGGGGGAGGAAATGAGAAGATTAAACAAAGGCGGGGCAGAATGAGCTGGATCCTGGAAAGTGGTTAGAATAGTGATGGGCAGACACAGGACTTGAGGAAACAGCAAGAGGCACAGAAGCTGGGAAGTATGTTTAGGGAACGTTTTATTTGTGTACATCATTGTGTGTTTGTGTACATGAGACCTGTGTGTATGTGAGAAATACAGACATACATATGGGAGTGCTGGGCAGGAAGGAATAAAAGATGAGACTAGAAAAATAGGTGAGGCCATATTGTATAGATCTAGCTTTACACCAGCAGCATGGCCGTCACCGGGGAGCATGTCAGAAGTCCAGAGTCAGGCACCACCCAGACCCACTGAGCAAGCATCTGCATTTTAGCACGATCACAGTGTGCTTCACACGCACATTACAGTTTGAGAAGTGCTGTTTGGAGTATCTCAAATGCCAGGCCTGGTTACAGCTTGAGCTTAAATATTTCTATAGCAGCACCATGTACCACAAACTTGAGGTAGGGCTACCACAAGGACAGTGTCGTAGCAGTTCAGAGAGGGTTACTGGTAAGTGGATGTCGAATAGAGGGGATACATTTGAGGTAGAATCTTGGTTTCTAGCCCACAAGTCAATTCCTCCTCCCCTGGCACTCTCATCTAAAGACTGAGACTGGGTGGCCAGAAAGTGAGAATACACATGGGGCAATTGAGAGAATTAGGGGAGCAGGGAAGAAAAGATAAGGGGTTTGGTGATGGATGGTGCCTTGGAGGTCCAGGCAGGACATCTAGAGGAGATACTTGGTAGGCAGGTGGAAATGAGTGACTGATGTTGGAGAGCAGTCAGGATCAGTAGTTGAAGCTACGAGAAAAGGAAGCTCATGATAAGTCCTCAGAAAATGCCTTATATTTTGGAGAAGGTGGGCCAGCAAAGGAGACAGGTGCAGCTGGCTAGGTTGGTGATGCAGAGCGAGGACTGAGAAGAAGGAGGGAGTTGATGATGAGCGCAGAGAGTTTATGCAAAGCAATAGAGAGAACTCAGATAGCAAGAGAGAGGTTAAGGATTCATCCTTTTCAGCCCAGCCCCTCCTTCCCTCACTGTTAAACCTGATGGGAGGCCAATTTTAGGACCAGGGACCTCTGATCTTATTTGTACTCATACAGGAGAGAGCCTGTGTACATGGTGGAAAAAGAGGGATGGGAAGAGGAGGGGAAAGTAGTTGGAGAGGATCTCCTTGGCAAGCAGGAGGAGCACTTTTCTCAGAAACATGGTGAAAATAGAGGAATTTTGCCTGGCAGAGTGTAAGTGATCTTTGGCAAACAGTTGTCTAGGCCCAGATGCAGGGGTTTGTCTGGTAGCTTAAGATAGTATGGAATGTTTGAGAAACCTTGGGTAAGTTAATTGATAGAGTCAACAGGAGGTAAGTGTGCAATGTTTATAAAACTTTTTTCTAAATACTCTTAAAAGAATCTCAGTTCATAATAATAGGCCAATATCCTGTTTGTTTCAAGAAGAAGGAATAGGGGAGAGATTTGAATTGACCAAGTGTTTATTACAAACAGCTGTGAAGAATTATGCCACTTGCAAAACTTTTAAAAAGAGGGAGGTAGGGAATTAAGATCATTTTTGCATGTTTTCTTGAGGCATTGCAAGAAGCAGTATAAGACTTGCTAATTCTTTCTTTTCTTTTGATTTTAGAGAGAGAGGGAAAGGAGAGAGAGAAAGAGAAATGTCTATTTGTTGTTCCACTATTTATGCAGTTATTGGTTGATTCTTGAATGTACTCTGACCGGAGATCGAACCCACAACCTTGGCATATCTGGACTGTGCGCTAACCAACCGAGCTACCAGGCCAGGCGTTTTTTCTTCTTGATGGCATTTTCATTAGCTACATTCTATTTTTTAATTATTATTTTTTTTATCCTCACCCGAGGAAATTTTTTTGTTTTTTGTTCAGATATTGTGGGAGGGAGAGAGAGGAAGAGAGAGAGAGAAACATCGACGTGAAAGGGACACATCGAGTGGCTGCCACCCGCACAACACAACCGGGGGGGGACAAACTGCAACCGAGGTACACACGCTTAGTGGGAACCGAACCTGGGTCTCTCTGGACTGCAGGCTGACGCTCTAAGCACTGAGCCAAAATAGCCAGGGCTCCAGCTGGTTTTTGTTTGTTTGTTTTTGCTTTCTATTTTTATTACAAAACCTTTCAAAATACAAAGAGGAAAACTTGGAGAACATGTAGGTTACAGAACTAAATATGAGAGGGCAAGATTACTTTTATTTTTCTTACCCTGTTCTGTATGTAAATAACCATTTTGAATAAAAATGTTTCATAAAGTAAGTGCTCCCAGAAATATTTTAATGTAGTAGGGACAGGATATCTGTCACTCTCATGTTGTCTATAACACTGTGTAGTGGACACATCAAAATATAAAGTATAGTTGGCAACTTATGACCTTATGTTTTCATTTGGGGCACAGACAGTCTTGTGATATGCTTAAATAAAGGAGGTTTGATTTGAAGATTTACTTAGTAGGTGGGGACTAAGAAGCAAAGTCCACTGAGTGCTAGTTTGTTTTTGAATGAGAACATGTGCTTTCCTGCGTGAGAGCATATGTTAGTTTTTTTAATCATTTTTTAATTTTTAACTATAGTTGACATACAATAGTATATTCATTTCAGGTGTACACCCCAATGACCAGACATTATGTAACTTACAAAATGATCATCCTGATAAATCTCATAACCCATCTGACACCATACATAATTATTAGACTATTACTGACCATATTCCCTATGCTGTACTTTACATCCACATGACTGTTCTGTAACAAACAATTTGTACTTATTAATTCCTTAACTTTTTTCACCCATCCCCCAACACTCCTCCCATCTAGCAACTGTCAAAATGTTCTTTGTATTAATGAGTCTGTTTCTGTTCTGCTTGTTCATTTATTTTGTGTTGTTTTTTTTTTTCAGTTCAGTTGTTGATAGATATGTAGTTATTGCCATTTTATTGTTTATAGTAGTGATTCTTCAAGAAGACCCTTCAACATTTAATATAATACTGGTTTGGTATTGATGAACTCCTTTAGCTTTTTCATGTCTAGGAAGCTTTTTGCTGTCCTTGGATTCTAACTGATAGCTTTGCTGAGTAGAGTAATGTTAGTTGCAGATCCTTGCTTTTCATCATTTTGAATATTTCATGTCAATTCTTTCTGGCCTGCAAAGTTCTGTTGAGAAATCAGCTGACAGTCTTATGGGAGCTCCCTCCTTAGGTAATTAACTGCTTGTTTCTTGCTGTTTTTAAGACTCTCTTTTTGTCTTTAATCTTTTGTATTTTAATTATGAGGTGTCTTGGTGTGGGGCTCTTTGGATTCATCTTGTTTGGGGCTCTCTGTGCTTCCTGGACTTGTA